AGGAATCTCAGTTTGGTGTCCTGTTCTGCCATAATACACGGCCTCACATCCAGGACCTTCAGTCTGGATTTTAGACCTCCTGAGCATCCCTTACTAACTAGCAATTAATTAGTCCTGAGAGTGCCCCAGACAGGCAATTTGTAGTGACTCCTTAATAGCAAAGGGGGGAAAGGGAGAGGTTGTTTGTGATGAGACATTGCTGCAGAGGAGTACCAGGGGAAAGGATGGAAACTGCCACTTCTGATCGTAGTTGTTAGCATCACTGTCACAAGCAACATATCACTGAACAGAAATACAACGGATAATTTGGATAATTCACCCCTTTTTCTTTTTTAGCACAGCTATAGGTGAGGGTCTTGCTGTCAAAGCCACGTCTCCACTGCTGAGACACTCCTGTCCTCCTGTGCTTGCAGGGAGCTGGACTCTGCCATGCTGCGGCGGCTGGAGAAGAGGATCCTGGTGGACCTGCCGAGTGAGGAGGCACGGCGGGTGATGATCCAGCACTGGCTGCCCCCTCTGAGCAACAGCGGCAGGCTGAAGCTGAGGACGGATCTGGATTACAGCCTGCTGAGCCAGGTGGGCAGGGCAGTGATGAGGGCTGGGACAGCGCCTGGGCGTGCTGCCACTGCCACACGCAGAGCTGGGCACCACCTCAGCTCCCCTGAGGCTCCAGCTGCCTTCACGCAGCTCTGCCTGCAAAACGGTGTGTGCTGGTCCTCTCTGCTGGTGTCAGAGTGTCATGCACGGTGGTGAGAGCACTGTGACATGGAGAGGAGAGTGTCACACTGGCCGGTGTGTCTGGGCGGTGCCACGTGTGACATTGGAAACACAAGAGGTGGCAGTTGTGTTTCCTGGGGGTCTATGGTGCAAGGGGGACTCCTCTCTTCCCCAATGGACTCAGTATTGATTATATTGAAGGGTGAAAACTTGATTAAGGATCCAAATGGGTCTCGCTGGGGTTTGGTGGAGTTGGGTGGAGGGAGGAGAAATGTTTTGGAAGGTTTTCATTTCGAATTTTGTGTGGGTTTTTTTCTTTCCTTTCTTTTCCTTTTATAGCAGTAGTAGTAGTAGTGTAATAAAGTTTTTCCTTTGTTATTAAGTTTGGCCTGCTTTGCTCTGTTCTTGATCACATTTCACAGCATTTGATTGGTAAGTTGTATTTTCATGGGGCGCTGGCATTGTGCCAGCGTCAAACCATGACAGCCAGCTTTTCCGCCTTAAATACAGGGAGACATCCAGCAACAGTAGGTTTTATCACTGCTCTCGCCAGGCTGGGAGCACTTCCAATTCATCAGGGTAATGAACAGTTAATTGTGTAGGGAGGGTTTGCCACAGCTCCACTGCTGCGGCAGAAAAGAGCATTTGGCATCGAAGAGATTCACTAGATACCCCAGATTCCTTCATGTAGCCCTTTGTCACGTCCTGGATTCTTTGGAAACAGAATCCTAGAATGGTTTGGGTTACAAGGGATGTCAAAGAGAATCTTGTTCCAATTTCCAGCTGTAAGCAGGAGCACCTTCAATTAGCCCAGGTTGCTCAAGGTCCCAGCCCTTAAACATTTTACTTTACCTAGCTGAGATTCTTACATCTGTTTACAGAGACAATGCTGCTCAGTACTGGGTTCATAAGGAAATACATTTATTTTATTTACTGGAAAGCTGAGGATAGACTCAGAAAGGTGGGTTTTATTTCACCTACAGAAAATTGGCATTTAGTAAGAAAATGCCCAGTATTTTTCTTGGTCCTATGAGGTATTGTGGGCATCCAAAGAATAACAAGCTACATAATTTTGAGGAGACAATACCAAAAAAATTTAGATTTCTGTGTGTATATAAATGTGTATTTCAGACAGCAATAGACTTCACGAATATTTATATAAATACATAAACAATATATATGCCTGCAAATTCCACTTTTGTCTGATTCGTGAATGTAATGTATTGTTCTGATCCCCTCACAGGAAACAAATGGATACTCTGGCTCAGACATAAAACTTGTGTGCAAGGAGGCAGCCATGAGACCAGTGAGGAAAATTTTTGATGCTCTTGAAAATCATCAGCCAGGTACCTCAGCTCTGGCCTGGGAAATGCTGATTTTCTGCTCTAACTCTTGGGATGAAGATTCTAACTCCAGCAGGTGGAGCTCTGATATCTGCCTGGGAAAGTTTTAAAATCTACAGCTCCAAACCCTGCTAAATTTCTAAAAATCAGGGCGTCTTTTAAAGCTGTCATTATTTGTGCTCTCGGTATAAATGTAATTTTTCATTTATCTCACTACATTTAGTCTGTTGTTTTCCTACATTAACTGTTGGACTAAGCATTGACATAAAATAATATCTTTTGGTAATAGTAACAGGATTTATTCAATTCTCTTTTCTTTAGGTAACAGTAACTTGCCCATGATCCAGCTGGACACAATCACAACAGCCGATTTCCTGGATGTGATCACCCACACCAAGCCATCAGCAAAGAATCTAAGCCAGAAGTACATGGCTTGGCAGAGGGATTTTGAGTCTGTCTGACAGGACAGCCCCAAAAATCAAAACCTTCCAAGCCATTTGCCATCCAAAGTGGCCTCCAAAGGATCAGATGGTGATGGGGAAGGAAATGCTGTTAATTCAAGGAACAAAATGCAGTGACAAGTGTCAGAGGGAAATCATTACTTTCAAAATGCAGGGGAGGGTGAAGAGTTGGTGGTTATTCTTTATTCAAAAAAGTTCTTATTGGAATTAATGTGATGGTGCAATCCTATGCAACAAAGCCTCCAGCCTTAATTTTATGTATGAAGACTTAAAAGATTGATTGATTGATTGATTCTCAGTCTTTATTCATGACAGATTTTGGGTAGAACTGGAGCAAAGTTTAAAAGCAGATAGACAATTAGCGTAACCCTCCATTTCTGACACTCTGTTGAGCACCCCAGTCAGTGTAGCTTTCCTAGCAGAGACCTGCACCCTTCTTAATAAAACACAAAGTAGGCATTTTCAGTGAAAAATGCTGAGTTCAAAGCCCTGAAGCGTGTTATTGTTGGGGTATTACCAAGGTGAAAAAGGCAAGAAATTAAAGAAAAACTGCAGCAAACCAGCAGATTTACAATAATTAACTAGAAACCGTGTTGGTGGCTACCCAGTGCTGGTTTGCAGCCAGCCATACCAGAATTGCAGAACCCCAGGATGGGTCAGGTTGGAAGGGGCCAGAGAGGGTCGCATCTGACCACACCTCCCTGCTCCAGCAGGGCCATCCCAGAGCACAGGGTTGTGTTCAGAGGGCTCTGGAATGTCCCTGGTGAGGGAGACTCCACCCCTGTCTGGTCTCTGTTCAGGGCAGTTGTGCCTCCTGTGCAGGGGAATTGCTGGGCTCAGTCCCTGCCCGTGGCTCTGGTGCCATTGCTGGGCCTGGAGCAGAGCCTGGGCTCTGCTCTGCCCCTCCCTGCACACAGGGACACACAGGGACACCCAGGGCTCACAACCTGAACAGCCCCAGCTCCCTGAGCCTGTCCTCCTTAGAGAGATGCTCCAGGCCCTTCCCCAGGTGTGCCAGCCTCCCCTGCCCATGGGTGCTGCAGTGAGCTGTGCAGGATGTCAGATGTCCCCATGCTGGACTGTGCTGCTCATACATGTGGCCAGGTGAGCAGCCAGCACTGCCACATGTCCTGCAGTCTTGTCATCAGAAATTCCAATGTTTTTTCATTGTTTTGCATTTTTTTCAGGCTCCAGGTTCTGTCACTGCCCTCTCTCACCCTCCTTCTTGCTCAGCAAGACACTTCCCTTCCATGCAGTTCTCAATTTTCCTTGGGCTGGTGTGTGTCTGCATTCCAAGCATAAGAGTTGGGCATGCTTTCCAGCACATTCTGAGACCTCTGAGGCTCTCAAAGTCCCTTTTAATTCCTGCAGCAGTCACACACTGGAATTCTCCAAGAGAAATGTCTTCAGCACCTTTTGCTGATACATCTCCCACCTCCTGCACCTGACTGTGACCCCAGGCCACAGACCTCCCTTACATCCATCCTTCCAAGCAGAAACCAACAGGTTCAGAATGGCTGGCACAAAACCCAGATCTGTGAATTTATGCAAAACTGAAGCTGGGAGAAAGGGCCCACAGACAATATCTAAAGATGTTCCTCAGAGGTCTCTTCTTCCAGGCAGAAGGTGTCATGATGTGAGGAAACAACCTCAAGTTGCACCAGGGAAGGTTCAGGTTGAATATTTGGAATTACTTATTCCTGGGAAAGATTGCCCACCCCTGGCACAGCTGCCCAGGGCAGTGGTGCAGTCTCCAGCCCTGGAGGGATTTGAAAGCCATGTGGATGTGGCACCTGGGGATGTGGGTCAGTGCTGCCTTGGCTGTGCTGGCAAATGGTTTGACTCGATGATCTTAAGACAACTTTTCCAGCCTAAATGATTCTGCGATTTATTCTTGTGTTTCCACTGCAGAATCTCCTCCATCCACCTATTCTGTTCACCCACCCTGAAGGTCTAAATCTGAACGTAGTAATCACCCACCAAGGGAGGCTGCAGAGAGACACTGTCACATGTGAGGAATTCATTCATCACCATGGTTTTGTTTAACAAGAATGAGCATGGCTCATTAACACAAAACTGTATTTTCAATAAGGTTAATACTCCAGTAATGCATAATTACAATCTAATAATTTAACACACAGGAGCACTGTAAAACAACTGTAAAGGACTTTGATTATTACAATTTGCAAATGGACCAGAAAAGCCATTTACAATCATTACAAAGTTGGTTCATATTGGGGGATGTAGTGCATAGGAAAAGCATTGCACGCTACAGAATTAAATTTCATTTTACAGCTCTGCTAACCAACTGTAAAAACTGGAATCTGTCCCCATGGCTTGTGAAGGATTTTTTCCATAACATTAAAAAGAAACAAAAAAATCCCCAACAAAAGTGAAATTTTGCAACTGTAGCATTAATAGGACCCTGCTGAAGCCTAATTTTAAAAAGTCACAGTCTCTAAGGCATTTAATACCAGAGTTTTGTTTCTGTATCATTCTTTTTAATAACAGGATTTAATTAAAACATCTGTAAAATGCTGACAGTTTTTAATTTTATGTAAAATTTGAAAAGCAAATAACAGGATCTGCTCTAATGAAAGACAGCCACAGTAGTTATTATTAAGCAATGGTGATATTTTCATTTAAGAGTCACTTCTAAACGTGCATAATCCCCACCTTTAAGTCAGAGCAGAGCAGAGACATCAGTGAAACCACTACAGGCCACTGAGGCTCTGTTGGTGTTTGAGCTTTCTTTACTCGAGTGTTTTCAGTGCATGTTTTCAGTTTAGCTTATTCTGCAGAAGATTTCCAGACGGTGCTCTTCATCAGGTATTCTTTGAAAAGTGAAAATAAGAAGACACTGCCCTATGTGTGTGCCTGTGCTGGGCCCACATGGATCCCCTGCCCATCACAGCCCAGGGTTGTTTCTGATGGATTCTGATTTCAAGAATGAAGGAAATGGTGTGAAACAGATGTTTCTTCAAGCTACCTGTTCCCTTTCTCACAACATCTGCTTCAGGATATGTTCCACTGCCTCTGGGAAATTCTCACAGGTTAAGTAGGGACCTGGATTGATTTTGTCTTCATCTGCTGGACGGTATTTACCTGTAACAGATTAACACAAAGATCTCTCTACCAAACTTCTCTGAGTACCTTTTTTGTCCCCCGCCCCTGAAAATTAGTCTTGTAATAGCAGTACCAACCAGTAAAATGCCCATCTGGGCAAAAAACATCCCATAAAGCTTCCCTAGACAAATGCTGAGCCCTACTGGAGATTCCTCCAGGGGCAGCTCTGGATCAAAACTAGTGTTAATTGCACTGGTTCATTCTGCTGGACTAGCAAATATCCAATTGTAGGTTCTTAAAATAATAATCATCATAGAATCCCAGAATGGATTGGCTTGTAAGAGACCTTAAACCACATCTAGTCCCATCCCCTGCCATGGGCAGGGTCACTTTCCACTATCTCAGGGTGCTACAAGTCCCATCCAGTCTGGCCTTGGACACTTTCAGGGATCCAGGGGCAGCCACAGCTCTGGGCACCCTGTGCCAGGGCCTGCCCACTCTCACAGGAAAGGATTTCTTCCTAAAATCTCTAACCTAAATTTCATGTCTTTGATTTTGAACCCAATACTCCCTGTTCTATCAGTACAGTTCCTGATGAAGAGTGCCTCTCTGAAGACTCTTCTGAAGAAAAGCAGGATTACTTCCCTTCATTTTCAACATATCACACTGTGTGGCATGAGCAGCTGCCACCTCAAAGAGACCTTTCCAGTCTACGGGTCTATCAACAACACAAAGAATACCTGTCAATCCCTCCAGGTTCCACTTCCATACAAAGCAAAATTACACTTATAATGACCTTGTAATTATTGAAGAATGTCACCAGAGCTCCTGCACAATCAGAGGTTACATTGCTGTGACTGATTTTGGCAATCTAAGGTGTGACAGTAACAGTTCCCTCTGTTCTGTGATTTACTGCTCTGGATTTTTGAGTCAGAGCAAAAATTCACACCTACAAGAGCAGCTGTCCCTAACTTCGGTCACCCTGCCCTCAGTTGGGGGTGTGTGCGCTGTGTTGTAGCCCTGTGGTCACAATGTTCTGCTTGACAGGCTGCCCCTGCCCCACCCCAGAGCGATGTGGAAGGTGGGGGCTGCCCCAGGGCTCAGAGTACCTTCACTTCTGGGCACAGAGTGAGATCACTGAAGGCACCACTGCCTCCTGAAATGACTGATCCATGGAGTACTTACCTGTCCTTACCAAAATCCCACGCATGCCTGCCTGCTGGGCACCACCAACATCATCCCTGCAGTCCTGGGACACAGCAGGAGAGCACAGGGTTAGTGGGCACAGACATTTCCATAACCTTTTCTGATTTGCACATCACTTAAAAGCAGCGACACAGAGTCAGATCTTTCAGCCACCCCATCAGTCACACTGTCACAGGAGTGGTTTTCTGTGTGCTCTCTGCCTGATCAAGTAGTGATCAAAGTAAGAGAGAAAACCCCATGGCTTACATACTAAATCCTGTGAACTTGCATGGAATTGTTTAGGTTTGAAAGCCCCTCTAACATCATGGAGTCCAACCATTCCCCCAGGACTGTGCAGGTCACCACTGACCTATGTCCCACCCATCCACACAGCTTTTAAACCCTTCCAGGGATGGGGATTGCACCAATGCCCTGGCAGGTGTGCCAGTGCTCAGAGTCTTATTTCATGAAGAATTTTTCTCTAATATTCCATCTAAACTTCCCCTGGCCCAGCCTGAGGCCGTTCCCTCTCCTCCTGTTCCTGTTTCCTGGAGCAGAGCCCGATCCCCCCTGGCTGTCCCCTCCTGTCAGGAGCTGTGCAGAGCCACAAGGTCCCTCCTGAGCCTCCTTTTCTCCAGGCTGAGCCCCTTCCCAGCTCCCTCAGGTGCTCCTGGGCCCCTCCCCAGCTCCACTGGAAGCTCTGGAGCTCCCTGTGCAGGCCCTGCCCAGCGCAGAGGTTTGTCCACGTACGTCTCCGATCATGACGGCCTCCTCGGGGGCACAGTCAGTGCCCCGCAGAGCCTCCAGGAAGAAGGTCTTCTCTGGCTTCCCCACCACGGTGGCTTTGGTGTCTGTTGCATATTCCAGCCCTGTAACAAAAGGTCCAGGTCCCAGACACAGGCCGTCCTTCTTCTTGAAATACCTGGCTTTATGGATCGCTATGAGAGGCGCCCCATCCAGAATCAGCCTAAAGAAAGAATGAATGAAGAGAGTACAGAAATTCTATTAAAGGAATTATATTTACAACTGAAGGCCTCAAGAGGCTTTCATACAATCCCAAGATGGTCTGGGTTGAAAGGGACCTTAAAGCCCATCCAGTCCCACGCACTGCTATGTGCAGGGACACCTTCCACTCTCCCAGGTTGCTCCATGCCCTATCCAACCTGGCCTTGGACACTTCCAGGGATCCAGAGGCAGCCACAGCTGCTCTGGGTACCCTGTGCCAGGGCCTCAGCACCCTCACAAGGAACAATTTCTTATAAGTACAGGATGAATCATTTGACCTTTATATTTTAGCATTGAAGGAATTACAGGAACAAGTTACATTAAAAAAAAAACCCAAACCTTAAAGCCCTTTGAGGCATTCACATCCCTCTGAATTTCCCCATTAACCCAGGGAACTTGAGCAGGCTCGCTTCCACAGAACATGCAAATCATCTTTGGTTCTCTCATTTCTGTTTTGTGCCCTGCAGACTTTCCTTACAGCAGATACTGCATCCCCCTGTCCTGCAGCAAAGGGAAGCTGTGTAGGTGCTGCACTACAGGAATGCTTCTCATGCATCAAGCACAGCAGTATTATTGCAGTCCTGCCCTCCCCAGTTTCAGTGCAAAAAGCTCTGAACTGCCATCTGGATTGCCAAACATTTTCCCTCTGATTTTACACTTTCTCCACCTAATGCAGGTCATTCCAATCTTTATCACAACAGTGTAAAACACTGGTTGTTACTCTCAAGGCAGAAAGGAGGATTTATTTTCCTCTTAACCCCTGATCTGCTAAACAAAACAAAAGCCTTTAAGAAAACAATGTCTTGCTTTTCCCCTGTTGTAAGAGGCTGCCTGAGGTGAGCTGGCTTCTCCTTGGGGGATGTCTGCAGAGCAGCCTGGAAGCTCTGAGCAGGGCATAAATGATATTTCATTTCACTTAATTATCACAAAACACTGCTATTGAATCAATGCATTCCAAAGCAAGCTGAACAAGAAGAAAGCTGGGTTGTGTTTCTGTGAGCAGCCAGACATGTTCATGATGGGAGGATGCCTCTAGGACACAGAAAAATTTAATTTGACAGCATCACCACAACCACTATGTTCAGCAGTTTTCAGGAGAGATCTCACCTGAGAGAATTCTTTTAAACATGGCATCAAAATCCCACTTATGTAGGAAGAGAAATTTTGTCTCAGCCATTTTCAAGTGGTGCCTGGAGAATGGCCAGACACTGTATATGTTGTTTTGGGATTCATGTTGGGTTAGATTTACCTAAGTTAATGTTGGATGTCAATAGAATAGTTTCCTACCACGTAATTAGTCAGCCTGGGCTCCTCACAGTTGGTGCAGAGGAAAAGGCACTCCTAGGGCACAGTTCAACTGTCCTATTTTAAGCACTATTAGGTAAAAAAATGCCCTGAAGAGCCTCCCTTATCCCTCCAGACCCCCAGCACAGACACAGGAAGCTGCACTTAGATATCTGCATTTAATCAGATTCACCTCAGAGTTCTGCAATCCCAATGCAATTCCTTTTTCAATGCATATCCCAAGTGACTTAAATTATCTGAGCAGTAAAGGAGAAGGAATAGGGCAAGGCTCAACAAGAAGAGAATGTGCTGGTGGCCAGTGTTTCCATCAGGCCTAACAAAACTGACACCAGCAAAAGTTTATCCCCTATAGAGAACTGGGAAAAATACCCAGAGCAAATCAGCCCAGGCAGAACCCATCCTGGCTTTTTTTAAGTGTCTTGGTCTTCAGCCCAAAGCAAATGATGGATATTATTCAACAATTAATATATTCAGGACAAAAATACGAATCAATAAAATGATGTAAGCACTGGGGTACTCAATAGCTTAAGCTCATGCAGTTGTGAAATTAAAAGTCCACTCATGATCGAAAGTAAAATTCCAAAATCAATGCCTTTGGCAAGGCTTGCTAACAAGGCAGACAGGGTCAGTTTGGGTCAACATCTGTTGATGTAACACAGAATTGGCAGCAGATGAGGACAGCATTGGCCTCCCACTCCAACAGACCTCCCTAAAACACTGGTGGGCAGTAACTGATACTCCCTCTTCTAATTTTATGGTTATAAAGACAGCTTAAGGTGCTTGGTATCAGGATTTTCACTGGATTTGAAGGTGCAGAACTGTGGTACGAACTTTGGTGGAGAACTTTGCCACCATCCCGTGAGCAAAGATGGGAAAGGGCTCCTCACACACATCACCAGGGCTATGCTCAGCTACAGGCTCACATCCAGCATCTAAAAGCTGAAGATTTTCCAAGTTAAAATCAAGAGTGTGGAGTCAAGCCAGAACCAAAGAGAAGGACACATGGCTCTGCACACACTGTTGCAACCTGGCTCATGTATGGTCACAGATGAAGTGTTATCTGACTTACCCCTCAGCCTAGAGGCAAAAAGAGCATTAAAAATAAACCACTCAAGATCAGCTCTGTAGCCCACCTGGCCTGAGAGGCTGTGCTGGCCACTCCTGAACAGAAGATGCTTCAGAAGATACTGCTGGATATCCTGCATTAGGTAGGCAAGGAATAATCTGCCCCAAATCCTGGATTTCCTTCCCTATAGCACACAGGCTCTGAAGGCTGGGCTTTGAACACAGAATCTGCCTCTCCTCTTGGAAAATAAAAAAAAAACAGCCTCAGGCTGTGCCAGGGCAGGTACAGGTTGGACATGAGGAGGAATTTTCCCATGGAAAGGCTGGTCAGGCTGATATTGGAAGGAGATGCCCAGAGAGGTGTTGGAGTCTCCATCCCTGGAGGTGTACAAGGAAGGCTCAGATGTGGCACTCAGTGCTCTGGGCTGGTGACACAGTGGGGATTGGTCACAGGTTGGACTCAATGGGATGGGGGTCTTTTCCAACCCAAGTAATTCTGTAAATCCTTCCCCACATCCCTAGTTTTGTGTATTTCCACTTGAGGAATTGCTAACTTTTCCCCTCACTGACAGCTGTGACTGTACTTTGAAGTTTATTTATACTGAAAGCTGTAAAAATGAGGTCTGGACTGCCTGAAGTTCTTGGTGGAGAACCCAAATCCCACAAGATTAGTGGCTCCCTCACAAGCTGCATAGTGTGTAATATTCCTACACCCTTTTATTCCCAGAAAGAGAAGAGAGCCCAGCACAAGACAGCTTCCACTCCACCCCCAGCCAGGGGCTGCCTTACCGAAAGGCTCTGTTCATCATCTCGTAGTGGAAGTGCTCAGGAGCCAGTCCCACCACCACAGCATTGGGGTTGTCTGTGCCAATCCCTGGGAAATCAGAACAAGACTCTGAGCAGACAGGATTTAATTCACAGTAGCCCACAGCCAGCAAAGTGCATTTAATCTTAAACTTAAGGCAAAAACAAGCATTTTCTGACACAGTCGTATCACAGAGACTGCTTTTATGTCTTTTATAGATGAACAAAGCATCTGTGGAAAAGGTGCTGGTCTATCCAGACTGTTCCATCCTCTAGGATCTGGACACTCTTAACAGCAGCTGTGGGATGATTCTGCCACCACTCCCACTAAAATGCAGGACACAAAAATCCCTCCTTTACTTCAATGACTGCTTGCCATATGAGAATCCCTCTCTACATATATTTATGTTCTTTGTAAGACAGTAAAGCAGGAATTCAAGTGAATCCCATCTAGTTTTTCTATTCCCTCTAGCCACAGGAAATTCCACTGACTGCTGTGTCTGATTCTGACAATAAAGACAGTACTGCAGCACACCCCAAAAGTTGTTAACCTAGATAAATTTGGGCTTTTCTGGAAGGTCTTTTTTCAAAGTGTATTAGTGCCTTTGGAAGCAGCTCCACTGCAGTACCACCCCTGGACAGAACCAGCAGTGGAAGCAGAGTAGCACCAGCAGGAGGGTTTTACTAATGGCATGTTATCAGCTGAGGATTTTGTTCCACCTTCAAACACACCCTCTGCACCTTTAGAAGGACAACCAGAGCTCCTGGCTGGCTCTGCTGGCTGAGGGCTCCTGCTGCATGTCCCTCAGGTGGCTCAGCCACCAAAACATCCACTCAGAGGTGCCACGGTGGATTTGTGGTATCACCCACAACCATCTGAGTCCTTAAACCAGGGAAGGATTCCTTCATCTGCCTGTGACCAACTTTATCAGAGAGATTAGCCAAGAACAGCTCAATAGCAGCCATTAACTGGAATTTCAAGAACTCTCCACTGTACTTGCATGTTCCAAAAGCAGCACTGAGGAAATGTGAGCCAAAGCCCTTGTAGCAAAAACAAGGCAAACAACCCATTCCAAATCCCAGCAATACAGATGATGCACCAAGGTGTCCCCATGTTACCTCTGTCTCTGCTATCTTTTATAAAATTAGTATCAGCTCCTGAAAAGCTAATGGAAAGATCCCAAAACCATGGAGGCTCAGCTGATTTAAATGCTGTCAGTGAAAGAGCTGCTGCCTCTGCTGTTTCTCACCCAGGAAAGCTTTCCTAGGAGCACAAATATTTCTGAATATTGCTGGGGGAACATTTCTCTGGATATGCTGTTAGGAAGAACAGATTACTAGGTTACACTGCTCTTACAGGGGCTTTTCTCCTGAACATTGACCTCTCTGAAGATTTCTGACCAGACTATGGCACCAAAATTTAATAGGAAATTCCTAGATCCTGGCAAGATTAGAACCTACTTAAATTACATGGCCAAAAATTTCAGTTTGTAAGGCAAGGACAAGGCAAGGACAAGGCAAGTATATCTCTGCTGCCTTGACTTTAAATAAAAAAATTTCAGCCTACAGTATACAGTTTTCAACTCTGAGCATGTTAAAAACGTGGGTATCTTTGCTACTCTTGATGTCCAAGTGAGAACACATAATTTTCTGCTCCCCTGACTGCTGAGGGAGGGAAATGGGAGCATCTGACAGCAAAGCAGATTTTAAGCAATCTTTAGGGGTGACAATTTAGAGGAGTCAGGGTGATGAACCTTCTGTCACCAGTGAAGGTATCCAAGTACATGGGCTGAAATCTAAATGTTCAATATAAGATAAGCAATTGCCTGGAGATTTTGCATTTAATAATAATCTATTAACTGAGAAAGAGCCTAGTGTGTGTGCCTACACACTGTTTGTTCAGGTCTTTATGAGTAAAACATCTGCTGGAAGTCAGGTATTGTGCAAATTGACACATCTTTGCTACAACAAAAAAAAAACACCACTGGTAGGTCCAAGAAAGTACCAATGACCTGGTGATAACTATTACTTTGTATCTTACACTGGAAATTAATGGAAAGTATTGAGTTTTACCTGAATTCCTGACTATTTGAAGGCCTTGGCTGCCATTTCCACTGCTCCTCAAGAAGATACAACTTCAGGCTTTTCAACAACTTTTTGATGTTTGATTTAAAATGAAGAAAGGACCTTTATGACCCCGCAGAATCCCACATTTCAGGCTCCACCATGGCTGGTGGCCTGTAGATGATTGAGAGCACAATGTCTCCCTAGCTGCTCATTAACTCCTGTTCATAAATTAGCTGCCTCCTGAGCACCTCACCTGTGAAATCAGGAAGGGCTTTATCATCCACCAGGAGCAGGGGCCGCACCTGCTGCTGCTCCAGGAGGTTCCTGGCGGCTGTCAGGGAGGTGAAGATCTCGTGCTCGGCGATGTCGAACCCCAGCCCCGTCAGCCTCTCCAGCAGGTCCCTCTTGCTCTCCTTGGTGGTGTTGGTCACAAACCGGACGGTCACCGGGGCTCTGCGCAGCCTGTGGGGGACACAGGGGCACGCTGGACACAGGTTCCTCCTGCTCTCACATCTGTGCTTCTCTTTGGGGCTAAAAACAGGCCCAAAGATGAAAAGAGCACATGGAAGACTAGTGCTGCACAAAAACTTCTGTGATGTGGAACAGACAGCAAGAATTACACCCCCCCAGACCAAGACAAGTCATCCTTGCCTCCTCTCCCTCATCTACCACAAAAATTCCTGAGAAAAACAGTGATTCCAACTCCCTCTTCATAGCAGCAGCCAGCACATCCATGATAACTAATTTGAAAAGTCTTTTTATTCAAACTACATAATAAATAAGCCGGTCCCAGTTCTTGATCAAAATAAGCGAACAAAAGAAGTTTGTTGCTGAATTAATATATTGAACTGGGTGAATTTCCCAGCAGCTGTGGCTCCAGGAGCCTGTGTTACCTTGGTGGTGGTTTTATGTCAGCTTCTGCAGCCATTTCCCCCTTTCCTGAGGAACACCAGTACCACATAAAACCACGTTATTGCCCTGTGCTGACAGTAAATGCTACCAAACAATCAAATAATTTTAAGTGACAGTTTCAACAGCATTCCCTTTAATTATTCCCCCACCATCACTTTCTCTGTTGCTATAGGAACAAACACAGGCACCAGGACTGTGTGGAGAACATCAGAATAAAGTTGGAGACTTGCTTCCACCTGCCACTTCCTTCTCCTGTTTATCTCTTGTTTTTCACTGATCCTTCACAGGTATGAGCTGATGAAAGAGTCCCCTGGTTGATAATAAAACAAAAATTAATATGATTTTTCCCTCTGGCCCTCAACAGGGAACTATGAACATAGTAACCCTAAAAACAGACATCTCTCCATTTGTTCCCTAAGCAAGCTGCATGCCATTCTCTCCAGCTTCTCTTTGGGAAGGACAGGAACACAAACTGGCAGAAAGGAGAGTGGGATAATAATTTTTTTCAAACCTCTGAGCCAAAAGACCTGGCTGTTCTCTGCCACCTGCCCTCCATACCTGTGACAGCACCCATATATTACATGGAATTTCAGGAACATTGACTCTCACCTGGCACAAGTTCTCCCTGCAGCAGGAAACAGTGCAGTGAGGGAAAGGGCAATGAATGAGTAGCCAGAGTTTCACCAGTTTTTACTTCCTTGCAATTTTACATCTTAAGGACATAATCATTTCCACGGCATTACCTGTGGGAAATGCAGTTTCCTCATCCCTCTGTGAACGTTTCCTCTGAGCTACAGTCCAGCTGTATAAAACCCTTAGCAGCCCATTCAGCTCCAGTAGAGGGTTCAGTTCTGCTCCTATATCCTATTAATCTTTAGTGCCCCAGAATCTTAAAGTGTTTCCCTTCATTCACCACAGTATCACCTATCACTTTGGGATTTTTCCTCATCCATTGCAAGATGTCTTCTCCAGGAAAAGACCACAAATATTACTGGGATTTTGCGTCCTATTTCACCACTGATTGTTTGGAATAAGGCACTTTGCTGTGCCTCAATATCATTAAGCATCCTTTAACCACAAGAGTTAATTTGACTGCCCTGTTTATTAATGTGTTGAAATTCCTATAAAAGAAAAAACAAATGATGTGGTGTACCTAGCAGAAAGAAACTTTAAAAACAGCAATAACCAAGAAAAGCTTTGTCCGAATGAAATGAAAACTCTGCAGAGGTTGCCTTGCTCGCTAGACCACTTTATCTCAGCAGATCTAAAAGAGCTGACAGATGATCAGAGCCGCAAGGAACAGCTCAGCTGAACCGATTTTGGGGTAATTCACCCAAACTCAAATTTGGCTGTGGCTGTCTCATCTGTGAATCAGTGGAGACAATTTCAATATTGGGGGTTTTAACGTCTAGAAAAGGCTTAGAAAACACAGAAAGAGCCACTGAGGAAAGCAGCAGGGGCTCAGGTCACACCAATTTCTCTCTCCACCCTTTGCCGAGTTCTCCCAGCGCAAACACAGCGTGGAGGATTCGGCCGCGTGCTCACTCCACTCACCCACCCCTTTGTGCAAACAGCACTGACACAACCTCCCACAGCAAACCGAAAAAAAAAAAAAAATAAAAAAAAGAGGGCAAACTTGCTTTTTGAGGGCCTCCTGGGCGCCGGGCACGGCCGAGTCCTCGACGTGGAGGGTGCCATTGAGATCCACCAGCACGGCCTTCAGCGCGCGCCGCGCCGCCATCGCGCCCGCTGAGGGACCCTGAGGGGGATTTTTAAAAAAAAAAACCCACATAACTCATTGCAAAGACTCTGCTCGTTCTTTAAGTGCATCCAAACAAAATAAAGCTCTCTGAACGACTCAAGGGCGCTGGGGGGAGAGAGAGGGACATTTGGGATTGCTGTCTCAAGACCTCAGCGAGAATATTTCAGCAAGTCCCACCAACAGCAACAATGAAAATGATGATACAGTGCTCTAAAGCTGTGTCTCTAAAGGTCTAAAGCTGCATTTAGGCTCAAAATGCTCTGCCGAAGTGGATGTTGTTATTTTATTTTTGTAAGAGAGAGCTAGGGTGATGCACACCCCTGTCACTCTGAGGGCACTTGGTGGTGACAGTCAGGATTTTTGCAGATTTTTAGCCTGGAAGCTCTCAGGGCTCAGGCATATCCAGCACCTCGAAGGTTCATTGCACACTCATGCAAAAGGGGCTTTTTTCCTGGTTCCACGTACTCAGCCCAAAATAAAAGCCAGGATTTGAAGCATAAAGGCACCAGGGAAGGAACAGAGAGGTGATGTTTGAGTCCCCAGGATAAAGGTCTGTCTTCAGAAACAAACACTTCCCCTCATGTGGGCTGCAAGAGCTGCATTTTGCTCTGTGAAAAGTCTGAGGAGCCGTTTCTCAGAAAATGTCCAATACAGCAAGGTTTTCTTCTGTTCATTAGACAAGAACCTTCTGAAAAAGCTGAGTGAGTTGGGATTATAGAAGAGAAGCTTTGAGGTGATCTGATTTTAGCTTTTCAGTGCCTAAGGGACAATTGACAAGTGATGGAGGGACAGCACACAGGGAATGGCTCCCACTGCCAGAGGGCAGGGACAGATGGGATATTGGGAATTAGGAATTGCTGGCTGGGAGGGTGGGCAGGCCCTGGCACAGGGTGCCCAGAGCTGTCCCTGGATCCCTGGAAGTGCCCAAGGTTGGGTTGGATGGGGCTTGGAGCATCCTGGGACAGTGGAAGGTGTCCCTGTCCATGGCAAGGGGTGGGATGAGCTTTAAGGTCCCTTCTACCCAAACCACTCTGGGATCTGCCACCCCTACAAGTGACTATAGTTTTGTGTTTAGCTGGTTTGGTTACAAACCACATGCAGCATGTCTGTAATTCTATAAAAGCACACAGAGCAGTCAGCACCACGACTGGAACCTGCCCTAATGAATTTCTGTCAGCTTTATCTTTGCAAACAGTTTTATAAATGGTCAGTGAGCCTGGGGTCTCAGGTACATCACACACACACACACATACAACAAGAAACTTTGATATTCCACATTGTTATTCCTGCTGGCTCTCTGCAGTAAGAAAATAAATAAAAATGCTTCTTTTACTGTATGTCTGTTGATACAAAAGCCAAAGTTAAATATTAATGGCACACAGGTGAAAACAGAAGTCCTAAAGAAGCTTCATCAATTTCAATGGAAATTGCTACTACTATTATTATTACTACTACTACTACTGTTTTTATTTTATTGTTACTGTTTATATCTTACCCTACATTTCCATCGGCTCTGCTGTTCACGGTGCATTTATTTGGGAAATATGGCAGTTATGTACTAGAGCCAGTTTCCAGCACAGCCTAATTTCAAAGGAAAAGCTCATGGATTGCCATGAAGTCCTAAAAGACCTCCAAAACCTCAGTTTTCCTAATCACATCCCAACGAAAACTCACCTTGTCAGGACAAAGGGACACCCCAGCCACGGTCTCTGGTAAAAGGACACAAGGAACACAAGGCACAACCTAATGGAAAGAGGGATACATTCTATAAAAATATATATGGTTATGTACGTCCCTCGGTAGGATACTGATGGCACAGGCGCCTCCCCCTTCTCGCGGGAATGGTACCGCCCCTTCCCGCCAGCTCACAACGGGCACACGGGCTGGCCCATTCGCTACCGGGGGAGTCCCGACCGCGGCGATTTCCCCTTTTCCTGACGCGGATGGTTTCGCCAGCCCGTTCGCGGCTGAAGGCGGCGGACGCGCCCACGCGGAGGAGAGGGGGGAGCAGCCAGCGCGGCTCCCCCGGCGCTGACGCGACTCTGCCCGCCCAGTCCCGCGGGGTCCTGGCGGAGCCGCGCCCGCCCAGCACCGCGCCGGGCCCGCCCGCCGCCAGCACGGCAAATAATAAACAATTATTATTATTATTCGTGTAACAATTACTGCCATAAATAAACACCGAGCTCGGCCCACTGCCGGCCTGCCGCCGGCCAGCGTCCGCCCGTCGCGACAGGCAGCGCAGGGAACAGCCCGCGGGGCCCTGAGGGCACGGGGCGCACCGTGACGTGGCCTGGTTATAAATTAAATAAATAAAAATGACACCCGTTCTAGCCATTATATCCTTATTGTTATACCTGTTACAGCTCCTTTATCCTACGTATACACTATGTAGTCATACCTTCTGTGGATATGATCATAAATCATGCAAATTATATCCCGTATGTCATCTATGGACGTGTTTATATCCGTAGCCATACGCTATGGATATCCGTAAACTATTTATCTATAATATATCCATAATCTGTATATTATGGATGTACCCTGTACGGATATTATACATAATAATGTATTTATATGTCGATATTATATATTTATACATCTATATAAACGTTACATACAAAATGTTATCATATCCCTATATGGATATATTATACCCATAATATATCCATGGCAACTAGCATATATTTATATATAAATACATATGTATATCTCTTGGATATTGGGAAGAAATTATCCCCGTTATATATCTACATTTTAAATTACATCAATAATATGACCATAGTGATAATATTATATTATAACCCACTGATTATATCCATATATGAATATATTTTACACCTATATTTATAATTCCACATTTATATGCTTTCATATATTTTTGTAACATGAATTTTAAGCTATAAACATATGAATTTTTTATACAGCTTCACAAACTATTACTAAGGTGTACAGACATGTAATAACTTTATTTTTCATAGTCCTTGTTTTTTGCATAAAAACGCCAATCACTTGTTCCAAAATTTTAAAAGTTTAGTAGTAATAAAATAGCTATTAAAACAGTAATAAAAATTAAAACGATGAGAATTTGAACAATCAGAGTTAGGACAATAAAAGCAAAGAGGATGCTCTTGGGCACTAAGCCACATCCCTTGTGAACAAAGGATTAACTCCTAAAAGCAATAGCCTGTTGCATCCTCATATATTCATACATGATGCATACATTCCTTTTAAACTGGGGATTTCTCTGGTTATTGCCAACTTTCCTCCTTAATCCTGTTGGTGCCTCAAAGATGAGAAGGAGGTGGAATTAAGTTTGTCTTTTCCGATAAGGAGGTCTCTTGGGGATTTTGGTGTCTTGTTGCTGTTACCTCTGTGCAAAGGATTTCATTATTATCTCCTCTTTCTTGAGCTAGTTAAAAACTACCTTACATAGCACTGTTTCTCTTTTAACATTATAACCTAAAACTACATTTAACACACTACTTGAGAGAAGAATTAACACAGCATAACTTTCTAACATAACACATATAATATTAATTTTAATGTTTGCGAAAAGCCAATCATAAAATGGGCATTTTTCACACTGTCCAACTTGGAATCCCTATTTTTCACCTGTCAGGTGAAGCTCTTCCCAGTTCTGCCTCCAGCACGGGATTCCCACTGCTCCTTCTCCCTGCGTGTGCCCAGCCAGCTCCACCCGTGTGCCTGCAGCCCCTCTGGAAGCACAGCAAGAAGGAAAAAATTGCTTTTCACCCGTTTTATTTTAAAGCTGCTGCTTGCAATTTGAGCTCTGGCCTTTATTTCAGTACAAATGAATTAAGTTTTGATGCAGAAATGAAGTTACAGACTTGCTGTGCCTCAAATTGTTCAGTGCCACAGCCACGGAATATTCGACCGCCGCTTTTCTTTCCAAAACTATGTCATAGGAATACAAAATATTCCACACACACATTGCCCCATTTCCACCAAAGACACATCTGTGAGAACAGAGCCAGGCTGCACCCTCGCCTCTGACTGACACAAAGATCATCACGTAGAAATTACTTCTAACAGATCCACAGGTTTTAAAATTTAAAGATCCTGAAGATCCCGTTCTGCCTCAGGGCAGCATTACCACGTCTCATTGGGTTTGCTACAGAAACCAAAATACGGCAGAGATATTGCCACGTGCCACGGGGATGAGGAAAAAGTTACACATTTACTATGAGAGCAGTAAATGTGGTAAACTCTGTATCTCTAACAGGATGGAGCAGAGTTTTGAGATATCCCCACTCTACACACAGAGAGAGTTAGGAAAGAGAGTGCTTAACTTGGAAATTCACAGGAATTTATTTACAAAAGTCACAAGAAAAAAGGAAACAACACAAACCTCTCCTCCTGGATGTACCTTACTCTGCAAAAAACTGTGATTGAAGATCATTAAATGCATTTACATGTTTTACAGATTCTTCTTCACATACAACAGCATATGCTTTAGTCATCAAGACATTGGGAGAGAAGATGATTGACTAAGCTGCTTCAAAATAATGAAACTGCCAGGTTTCCCTTGGCCTCCCCTCTTTAAAATTAGAGTCAAACACTTTAGCAGAGGAACAGACAAGGAATTCTAACTTCTCTAGACGGATACAGGAGAATCACCTTTTCCAATTCAGACCTAGCTCAGCAGTCTTAATTGAGAAAAGACCGGTAGGAAAGCAATTAGGAGCATTCTCTTCCACAGAACTGCAAAGTCACACACAGAATTGCACTTTCAAACCTGTTAATTTAACAAATTATGATGATGATGGAGGGCGGGGGAGGTAGCAGTAAGGAAAGAGCCTGCAAATTGTCTCGGGGTTTTCCCAAAGAAATGCATTTGAAAAGCGCAGGGTGTTCCCCTCCCAGGTTCCCCAGGAAGCTCAGAATACAAACGGTTCTTCACTTCGACCACAGTGATCACCACGCAGAAGTTTAATACATATTTTAAAAAGTATAATAACAATTCTTGACAGAAAAGTAACAAATACTAATCACTAATATCCCCAAAGTTAACTCAGAGTTACCCAGCTTTAGGTACAGCTTTTTTTTCTTTCTTGTTTTTTAAATTTATTTTTTAAGTTTTGCACTGCAGTTGCACCCATTTTCTACTGACTTTTCTGTCAGTATGAAATACTGTTTGAAGACAAAAATCCCCAATCAAAGCAGGAAAATTCAGCTTTCAATGTTAAGCTGAACCAGGACTTTACGCAGCTGATTTTATCTCTCTCCATATCACAGCTGGACTTCAATCCTTTATAACAAATATTCTTTACAACACACTTTCAGAGCTCAGTCCATATTCTCTTAAAGAGTTCCATGGTAGTAACTGAAATGAAAGCAAACACGTTTGTTGTTTGTTCTTTTTCTCAATTTAAAAACAAATTGGAGAACGTACTGAAGGAAATTAATCCCTGAGTAACGGAGCATTTAAAAGCTGCATCCCATTGCCAGTCACTGCAACATCCTATGACATTTACTCTAATAATTAATCAACACTATGAACAGGCAGCCAACAGAACTGGTCACAGTTCAATGTATTTGCAGCGTTGTTGCATTGATCCCGTGATCCTGTTAATGAAACTGCAAGGGAACATTAGGAAATGGGATAAATAGAAACAGTGTCTTTTATTATTTTAAGTTGAATGTCAGATTGACAGCTAAACCGTGCTGGATCCCAAGGTACTCAGAGCAGTGGTGGTCAGCAATTGGCTTCTCTGGAAGTCCGAAGAATTTCTACGGGGTGTCTTCAGCCAAACAGCAGGAGGAGAATGATTGTGATGGAGTTCAGGGCTATTAATGGCACTGCAGAGGGGAGAAAAAAGAGAAATTAATACTGAAAATTTTGCTTACCACATCACAAAATGACAGAGCTTCATATAACCATGGGAGAAGGAGCAGAACCAGTCAAAATTTTAGAAATACATTTAATTTTCCTATGTAAAGTTGTTACCAGTGGAAGGAGCCAGGCTCAAAGACATTAGCAGAAAGCAACAGCAGAAATATTTTTCCACAGCGCGTTTTAACTTTAACCCAGAGCCTTTAGCTCTGTTTTAACTTCAACACAAATAACTCTTTCTCCAAATGAAAGTAAACAATCTAAAATTCAGCTTATATCCTTGGCTTTACTGTGCTTTAGAATAAATGTTTTGAATTCTACTCAGTGATAGGTACGACAGGTTAAGATTTGTTACTCCCTCTCTACCATCATCTACAAAATGAATTTTTGGTGTCCATAATGAAGAACTATCAGTAACTTAAAAATTAAGTATAGTTTTCTCCTCATCTCCTGAGGCACATAAGCCTGACTTGCCTTTCAGAAACCCCAGAATTACATTTCCCTCACAGGTACTTCCCATAAAGTTGGATTTAAACAAAGTGATTGACACTGCACACTTCGGCTGATCACCAAACTTCATCCCAGCTGCCAGACTCCAAGGGAAGGAAAAGCTCAGCAGGAAAAACACAATCCAGAGCCAGGGAATGTTTTTGCACTTTTGGTGAGGCCTGCACCCTCTTACAGACAGTCTAGGCCCAGAGGAAATATAGATTAGTGCAGAAACAAGACACTACAGATTGTAATAATAATAATAATCATAATAATAATAATAGTAGAAAATATTGTGCCCTTACCTCTCATAACAGTTCGTATTGATCGAATGAGGTTTGTCAGCTGTGCTTTAATTCCTGGTTCCTCTCCAAATCCTCCAATCCCTTGATCGCTTCCCCAGCCAACTGGGTCACATAAAAACAGACACACACTTTAGGAAAAAAACCCCAAAACCACACAACAAATGCTGCAATTTTAACGAGAAATCTATCCTGAATGTAGTTTATACTAACACAGATAGACAGCCTTATTTCATGAGCATATTTTAATACAGCAGGCTGAAGGCTGTTAAACCTTATGCTAAACGATGATAAATCCATGTTTCTGTAAAGAAAACCCTCACCTTTTCAATACACCACAGTTCCCTGCGAGTTCATCTGGGCTTAAAAAATAAAACAGCTGTCAAAATAAACCCTAAACGAACTGCAACCTTTTCATAGTCCTGAAAATGAAATAGCAAATAATTCCTGGGTGTGAAGTGATGATGCTTCAGCAATGAGAAAGGGGCCACACGAGAGAAAAACAGCCAGCACAAATTCCAAAATTGGGATGATGATTTTTGCAACTGCTGTAAGAAAAAAAAACTAGAACTTTTGAGGGAAAAAAAATTGGGAACTTTTCTGAGCATACCAGAAGTCCCGAAGTTTTATGGTGCCCAGACACAGCATGATGGGACCAGGGATGTGTCCAGGGATTTCTAAGACCTGCTGGCTGCAGCCCTTACCATTTCTGGAAGGAGCAGCTCTCAACACACCAAGCTCCACTGCTCAAGCTGTGCATTTCTTTCTCCAGAGGCCACTTTTGAGTTATTTTTGCTCTCCCTTTCTCGTCTCCCTGGCACCAAACTGAGGGTGGTGGGTGAGTCCTTTCCCCCACCAGCCTTGCCAGGCGTCGCTTCCCACCGCGATGAGCCTGGAACTCTATTCCCAAGTCTCAAGAGGCCGACAAATGGCTTCACCCATCCCAGCTGTCCCCACAGCTCACGTTTTTAATTCCAGCTGCTCGTCAAAAGAGGAAAAGAAAAGCCCAAACCCAAGCTGAGCAGATCCTTTGAAACATATCCAACCGGGGAGCAGGAGAAAGGGATGCTCTTCTGCACTCCTGCCAAAAATCCTGGCTCAGCCTGACGTGGAGAAGTCAGGATTCTCCAGTTCCCAGTGAACTGGAAAACCGTGCATCACTGGCCATTTTTTTTTTTCCCACAGCTCTGCAGATCTTTGTCGGTGGATCTTCTCTGCTTTGCAGGGCTTTGGCTTCTTTTGAAGGGCAAGGATGCCCAGCCCTGGGAACCCCAGGGACCGAGAGGCGCCATCTCAATAAAAACCAGGCACGGCAAGCAAAAGGAAACCTTTGTGCGACACCCAACACCCCGAGCGCGGCACCACGGGGCGTGAAACAGTTAAAAACGGATGGGGGAAAAGGACAATTATATATTAAAAAAAAAAAAAAAGAAAAGGTACGACGAAAGCGGGTGGGAATTCATCCCCAAACCCCTCCCCCGCGCGCTGCCGCTCCCACCGGCAGGGAGCGGCGGGGGCCACCGGGGCCGGGCGGCCCATCGCGGCTCACCGTGGCGGAGGAAGCGCTCCTCGTGCAGCACGGCCACGGCATTGACGATGAGGAGCGAGGCCTGCAGGAGCGAGTAGAGCGTGAAGGCCATGGCCCGGCAGCGGCACCGGCAGCGGCCCCGGCGGCGGCGGCGCCCGAGAGCGACGTGGCGGGGCCGGGGCGGGGCGGGGCCTCACGGCGGCGGGGGGCGGGGCTTCGGGGGCGTGGCCTATCAGGCGTTTGGCGCCACGGAGGGGGCGTGGCCTGACATGGAATGGGCGTGGCCTGGTGGAGCGCGCCGAATGGGGCGTGGTTAGTGAGGGCGTGGTCTTAAGGGGCGTGGCTTAAAGGGGCGTGGCCTCCGGCTCCCGGGATCCGCGATAGAGTCCAGGTTCGCCCGTGGATCCCTCGGGAACCCCGAATCCCTCGGAGCCCCTCGGGTCCGGCGGATCTCGCAGACCCCCGCGTGCAGCCCTCGGTGCCCCTGGGACTCCTTGGATCGATGGATCCCTCTGGTCAATGGATCATCATTTGGATGCTTGTGGATTCCTCCACTCCGTGGATCTCTCGGAACGCCGTGGGTACCACAGAGCCCCCTAGGTCCATTGGATCCATGGATCTCTCGTGCCCATGGATCCGTTGGAGCCCTCAAGTCCGTGGATCCCTCAGAACCCCGTGGATCCCTCAGAACCCCGTGGGTCTCTCAGAACCCCATGGGTCCCTCGGAGCTTCTTGGGTCTCTTTGGACCGTGGATCCCTCAGGTTCATGGAGCCCATGGGGCCCTGTGAATCCCTCAGGGCCCTGGGTCCATCGCATCTGCATGGGTTCCTAGGAGCTCCTTGGGTCCATCAGATCCATGGATCCCTTGGGTCCATGGATCTCTCGTGCCCATGGATCCTTTTTGAGCCCTCAAGTCCATGGATCCCTCAGAACCTCGTGGGTCCCTCGGAGCTTCTTGGGTCTGTTTGGACCGTGGATCCCTTGGGTTCATGGATCTTCCAGAGCCCTGTGGTTCCATCAGAACTCCTTGGGTCCATTGGATCTGTGAGTGCCTTCGGTCCATGGATCCCTTGGGTCCATTGATCTGTCAGAGCCTCTTGGACTCATTGGGTCCATGGATCCCTCGTGTCCATGGAGCCCATGGGGCCCTGTGAATCCCTCAGGGCCCTGGGTCCATCGCATCTGCATGGGTTCCTAGGAGCCCCTTGGGTCCATTGGATCCATGGATCTCTCGTGCCCATGGATCCTTTGGAGCCCTCAAGTCTGTGGATCCCTCAGAACCCCGTGGGTCCCTCAGAACCCCGTGGGTCCCTCGGAGCTTCTTGGGTCTGTTGGGACCGTGGATCCCTCGGGTTCATGGATCTCCCAGAGCCCTGTGGTTCCATCAGAACCCCTCAGGTCCATTGGATCTGTGAGTGCCTTCGGTCCATGGATCCCTTGGGTCCATTGATCTGTCAGAGCCTCTTGGGCTCATTGGGTCCATGGATCCCTCGTGTCCATGGAGCCCATGGGGCCCTGTGAATCCCTCAGGGCCCTGGGTCCATCGCATCTGCATGGGTTCCTAGGAGCCCCTTGGGTCCATCAGATCCATGGATCCCTCGGAGCCCCCTGATTTTTTCAGGTCTGCAAATCTTTTGGAGCCCCGTGCATTTCTCAGGTCCACGGATCTCTCGGAGCCCCATGGACCTCACAGCACAGGCTATGACGTGGGAAGATCTGCTCACTGTGTAGCAAGTGCCCTTTGGATTTGGAGCAGGAGGAAGGTCCATCCTCATCCTCCTCCTCCTCCTCCTCCATCGTTAACGTGGTAACATGGTGTCTCCCAGCAGTGGGAGCTGGTAGAGAGACATTGCTGGGCGTGGGGCAGCCCCCGTGGCCATCCACCATCAGCAACACAAGTAGAATTATTAAAAAACCATAAACACTGCACATGCAAAAATACATAGCTTTATACTTGCATTTAGTCTTATGGACAGCGGGGTTTTTCCATGTGTTTTCTCAATAAATGGGTTTTCCTTCTATCCTGACTGAGGATCAAGCAGGAAGTCAGCCCAGATCCCAGGTGCTGTCTGTCCAACATGTAATGCTGCAGAACCCAAAGCACAGCCCAAAAGGAAACAATTTCCTTTTATAGTGGATTGATCATGACTTCTGGGTGGTTCTGCAGTCAAATAACAAAATAATCACAGCTGGAGCTCAGGGATACCATATCCCTGTTGTAACTACTGTAGTTACAGAGTTATCCCTGTACTGTAGTTACACAGTGTAATTATTGATGCACAAATAGACGTTTTTTTCCCTTTGCCTCTTTCAGTCCGATTGGCTGAAGGGGGTGATTTGCATAATCCCCCTGATTTTATTTCCCAGTAATTTCACAGTGCACAAGCCCCTTAGCTCTGGATGAGCTAACAGTACAGATTTTGGTACTTTTATTACTCAATCAGGGCACAATGATTTGCATGATCACTTTGTGGTGGTGGTTACTAGACCCTTCTGCTGCAATAGAGGCGACAGCTTTGTGCTCAGTATGGGGGACTGCAGAGACCACAGCTCAATTCCCTGCCCTGCCACAGACTTCTGACACAAGCTGGACAAATTATTCTCCTCTTACTAATATTGTGTCCCCATGCTCTATGTGAAGATCCCCTCGCCAGCAAGTGATGATCTGATATTTCAATTAATTAAGTGCCATGAGTATGTAATCAATAGGTGCTCAGACACCACGTGAATCAGCTGTGAAAAAACCCACACCTCAGCTTCTTCTTGTGTTCATCTTTCCTTTCCAAAACACCCACTTTGGTACAGTCAGTGTCATAACATTGTGCAACTTAATAATCACTACTATTAAATAACATTACATTTTAATACCACAGCTTATTTTGTTTACAATTTACTCCCAAAATTACTCCTATTACACAAGGGAGATAGGGAATCAAGGATATTCATCAGAGTTCTGTCATCTGGTCAAAAGCATTTGTCATTTCAGCTTCAAAAAGGGCTCAATTTAGGGTAGGGACTAAAACATCTATTGCAGTTGCAGTGAGCTCAATATTTTTGAAGCCTGTACTGAAGTGTTTACTTACATGAAAGCTTCACTGTTTTTCCAAAATGCTGGCTTTGGTTCTGAAAACTCTTATGTGTATGATTAACTTCATAAGCCAGCAGTTAGTGGGAACACTCGAGTGTAGTGGCACATGTGAGCACACACTTGCAGGCTCAGGAGTTCCAGAGCAGCTTCTCTATTTCTCATCTAGGTTTTTAAAATTTGCAATGACTGCAAAACTCCTAAAAAACACCATTTAAACATTTTTAAATTGAGCCATTTCTAGATGCCTGAGTCTTCCCCCTAATTTGTGAGGTTTATAATTCAAATAATCTTTTTCCATCTGTAAATAACAGCAACAAGAAAAAGCTTGAGTTTACCAAACTCCATACAGGCAGAGAAAGTCAAGATTGGCCTGAAAAATTTCATCCCGAAGGCCACTACAAATTTTTAAGAAGTTCTGAGTGTTGATGTGTGATGGTCTCACATACAGAGCTGTCTTTTGTCCTCAGGCATAACTTTTAGGGCATTCTGGCAGTGGTTCTATAATTAATTACAGATGAATATGGGGTTCAGTAACATAGATATCTAATAATCACCATGATCAAATAGCATTTCCTGGGCTACCTCCTTACGGTATACAAGCTATAAATAAATAAATGCTAACCTCAGTGAAGAGCTAATGCTTAGAGTTATGGCCCTGAAAAAAAAAAACCCCGACGTTTTTGCAATAAGTACACAAGTTACGGCTTAGTATTTTTACCCATAATTAAGATATATTTCAAAGGAGCAGCTGTCATCAAGCTGACATAAACTTGACGTGATTTTCCCCTTAATGAAATCCATCATGGCAACTTAGCAACCACAGGAGTCTTATCTCTGAATCATGTTACGTGGTTGAAGGGAAAACCAGATAAAGTTGCTTGCATTAGAAGGAAAGGGGCTTTTTTTTTTTGTATTTGTTTCATTAAGGTGTCGTGTTTCAGCACCATAAATTCCCGGGGTGTCATCTGCAGGGTGCAGTCAATCACCATAAAGAAGAGTTTTAAACCACCTTACAGATGTCAAAGGATTAAACTTCAGGCTGGTGAAGTATTGCGAAGGCATTGGTGTTTTTCACTCTCAGTTTCTCGTTCAATATTTTCAGGCAGAGCACATCTCCTGGGTGTCACTGTCCCCTACACTTAATGAGAACCAAGCTTGTTGTATGGGAGATTTTGGGGTTAACTGAGTTTAATTCTGATGAGAAAATACCACGACAAAGGAAGACTTGTAATGACTTCAGCCCCTGTACCCTTCACCTCTCTTGCCACCACCATCTCCTGACTTTATTTTCAGATCTAGCTTTAACCATTTCCTTCTTTAGACACTGTAAACACCCAGATACATGCACATCAGTGAGAAAATTTTGGGGACCCAGAAAATTCTGGAAATTGGGTCCAATGATCCCAAGTTGGAAGTGAAAAAATGCATTTTGTTGCTGGCAGCTTTTTTACCAACTCCTTTATTACCATAAGCAGCTTCATTAACTGAAAAACTTTTTGTAGGTGAAATAAATTAGGCTCTGCCTCTCAGCCAGGTGCTATAAATAAATCCAACAGCTAAATTTCACAGTTAGACTAAAGCCTTTGTCATCTCTCACTCATCACACCTAAAGTACTGTCGAAGAGCTGTAAAGTTAATGGTGCATCTGACTGATGTAACACGTCCCTGGTAAGCACAAATTGAGTGACTGCTTTAATGTCCAGATGGTTTTTGGGTTTTTTAAACCACCAAAGCTGGGAATACAATAAGATTTTGTACATTTGGGAGAATGTGTGTCTGGTCCTCACCTGTCAGGAGCTGCGTACAGGAAAGAGCTTTGCCTTATCTGTGTCTCATGGGTCACCTCTGCCCTTGCTTGTTCGAGAAGTGAACAGCCATCCCTCCAAAAACACAGCCTGACAGCCTCCCTGGGATTTGAGAGGAGATTAATAGGGCTTCACACACTGCCTGGGGATTGAGGAACACAATGAAAAACCATACACAATTCTGGATTTACACCTAAATTTATCAATGCTGTTTTCCTAAGTTACTTGACTCCGTAGCCATAACAGGCTTTAAATGTCATTTGTTGCCT